TATGTGGAAGGACTTCTCTTCACCCCCCACCCACACAGAAGCTCTAACAACTGTTTCCTCCCTGGTGTGTTCCAGGTTGGTCTGTGATGATTTCCCGGAGCTGAGAACCCCGCTGGAGACCCGCATACTGAAGGAAGGAGAGGATGTGGCCAGGTTAGTCTTGACTTTTGTATCATCTGTTGGTGGGTGGTTGGTGGGTGTGGCTCGCTCCTTCTTTCCTATCAAACGTTTATCGTCCTTTTCTCCCCTCCGTGGGTGGTTGGCGGGTGTGGCTTGCTCCTTTCCTATCAAACGTCTGTCGTTCTTCTCTCCCCTTCCGTGGGTGGTTGGCGGGTGCTCTGGTATGGTTTGCTTCTTTTTTCTTATCAAACATCTATCGTCTTTATCTCCCCTCCTTCTATTTTGTGTGTTTGTTGCTCTCTTGTAACACCTCTAATCTTCCGCACTTATGTGACCTTATTGTGTTGAAAGTGCCGTAAAACACTTACTAAAACTAAAACTTTCTCCCTTCCTTCCATTTCGTGTTTGTTACTCTCTTGTAACACCTCTTATCTTCGGCACTTATGTGACCTTATTGTATTTTAAGTGCCGTAAAACGTTTATTAAAACTAAAATGTGTCTGTTCGCCACTTTAGAATTACAAAAGTTCTATCTGCTCAGTGCCTAGTTTTGAGAAATTTGACGTAAAAAATGTTGAGTTTCACAAGTCAAGCTTTTCCGAATGTAATTGCCGAAGGCAAAATCTTGATTATGGCTCTGAATAATCATATGATTTTGATAGAGCAGACAGAACATTTGGTTTCTGACTTCATGGTCTAAGAAACTCGAAACAGCCCGAAAGGTCAGAACTTTGTAATTCATAAGGTAGCATGTTTTCTGTACACTTATGGTAACAGTACGGTAGAGTAGTCTAAGAGTAGCATCTTTTGTCTTTTTAAAAATCTGGTTCTTTACGCCTATTGTAACAGTACAATACAGCTCTCTAATTATAGATTCTTGTGTCTTTTTTATTTGGTTTCTGTACATCTATGGTAGCAGGTTCTTTAGACTTTGCGGCTCCCCCCCCGGGGCGGTGCTACTGACTGAAGTGGCTTTAGGCCATTCCCAAAGGGGGGGACATTAACATTTCGAGTTCTTATGCGCAGTAAAATTGTAATTGTAAATGGGCTGATTCATCAATTTAATATTGTTGAACGTATATATTTTACAAAATGTTTTGTTCTTGTTTCAGCTACGACTATGAACAGACGAAAGCACTATGTGATCGATTCAACAAGGCAATTGAAAGTTTGCGGCAACTGGTATGTTTGTTTGTTTGTTTTTGGGGTTTTTTCAAGTTTTGATTTCAGTTTTATAGACGATGTGCTGTTTGAAAAAAATGATACAATGTCTATTTCTTTTATATTTGCTCATCTTAAAGATTTATAAACACTGCAGTAGCACTTGTTTCGCAATATGAATGCCATCGGTGTTGGGGATATTGTAGAGATAGTTGTGGCCTGAGGGCCTCTGTTGTTGTGTAATTTATTGATGACTTACGTTTAGTCCTGGTTTGTCGTGACATTCAAGGTCAGTTGGTTGTTGGTGGGTGGATTGCTCTTTCTTTCCTAACATACTTCTATCGTCCTTATCTCATCCTCCTCCTTTTCTTTGCTTGTTGCTCACTAGTAACACCGCTAATCTTTGGCACGTACGCGTATGTGGCCTATTTGTATTGCAAGTGCTGTAAAATATTCTTATTAAAACTAGACAAGGTCCAGCCTTGCTTGATAAATTATCCAAATTTTTGTCAAAAGCGGCGCCAAGTTGAACACAGCGGCCTGGTACTGGTCACTCTATTCGCTGTAAATTATTTCTTCTCTGACTTGAATGTTTCTTGAAACAATATATTGGTCGCTTTTAAGCACAAGGGGGCTATCCCAAAAAATTATGTTTTGAGGAAATAGAAAGTAAAGTTTTTGCCCCTTGCTCTGTTTCTTTAAAAGACGAAGAGAGCATATAACCAAATACATATACACACCAATGAAGCCAAACTTCTCCTATAGGTAGGGCAGTGCCCACTTTTGGTGCAGGTCAAAATTTCTGGAAACCCCTGAAATCTGGGTTAGCTCGCTTGTCCTTAAAAGCGACCAAATATGATGGGGGGAAAGTCCCGAGTACGTACCCATAAGTTCAATTGTGCTGCGCTGTCGTCCGCAGGTCAAGGGCTCCCCTCGGCAGAAGAAGACGAGCAAGTTGGCGTCCCGGAGTCAGCTGAAGCACATACTGCAGCAGTGCTACAACAGCTCAGTCAAGGACCCCGAGAAGTTGAACCACTATGAGCCCTTCTCACCAGAGGTAATGTCTCTCTTTTTTATATTTTTAGAAGTGCTGGCTTTCCAACTGTCCTATTTTTTTCAATTATCCTAATTTTTCTGGAACTGTCCTGTTTCCTGGAGCTTTCCCGGATTTGGCACAATCAGGAATTTGGGAGCCTTATTACACATATCACTACACCAGAACCGGTCCCACTTGATGTAATTATGTTTGTTGTTATGCATATTAATCTGATGTTATAATTTATGTGTCCCTGATTTGGTTTTGGGGAAGTTGGCAAGCCTGGGAATAGAACAATTACACATACTGAGATTGTTGTTGACGATTTTGCTAATTTCTACTGGAGATTTTGCTGACTTGTGTTG